TCCCCCCAGCCTCTGTCTGTGTCTTGCATGCAAATGCCTATGCCACTGCCACTGCCTCTGACTTGAGCTTGAGCTGAGCTGAAGCTCCACTTTCATTTCCAATTCCATTTGGAGCCCCCAAGTGACTGGCATCTCAGGAGACGGGCTGGCCAGGGGACAGCGGAGGCGCCACTCAAAAGCAGAGCGGGAGAGAGCGGGAGAGCGGGAGCCAAGAGGCATCCGACACAAACGGCCAAAAGCTTTTTAATTAAGCCTCTGCCTTGGCCCTCTTGGCAGGGTACAAACTGAATCGGGAATCGAGGAGAAAAATCACAGAAAAACTGTTATTATAATCATCATCGTCTACAAAGTGTCCATCCTCCACTCCTCCCCTCCTCCGGCCACCCGTCTTGCTTGCTTGTCGCCTACTTTGTCATTATAATTTTTCTTTTCAGCTTTTGCAGATTTTGCCGTAGCTATGGCCATGGGGCCATGGGGGGGGGGAGGGCCAAACGAAGCAAGAGGGCCCAAAAGAAGAAATGCATTTTATTATTACGAGTATTATTATTATTTGTTGTGGTAACTTTTTAATCATTCCCCTGCCCTGCCCCTGCCCCACGCCTAGAGAGTGGATTGAGGTTCGTTCCCTTTTGAATAAAAAAACACTTTAAGAAAGAAACACTGGCCGAACGACTCTTATTGGTGCACCACCACTCACTCGGACAGAGGCAGACACAGACACAGATACATACTCCTACACTACAGATACGTATCCATCAGATACACTCGAACGACGAATGGGGAAAGCAGACAGAAAGAGAAAGCAACAGCAGAGCAGCAGCGGCAGTGGCAGTGGCAGCGGCAGTGGAACGAACCACAACAACGAGCGCCTAACCACCCTAAGAAAACCCACACCAATGCGTCCGTCCAATCCGATAGATAAATTCGCCGCAAAAACTTACGACTGGAGCGGCAACGAACCAAAGAGGCAAACAGCCAAACAGCCAAAGAGCCGAAGACGAAGCCAAAAACGAAGATACAACGTCCACGAAGACCTTTGCCGAGCATTGTTGTGGCTTCGTTTCGTTTGTTTCCCCTCCCAAACGGCGACGTCATCGCTTCGTGTGACGTCACGCCTCAAGAAACGCTTAAGGAAGCAAACGACCTTCATGGAGATCGAACGAACGCGAACTCGAATGCGCACCGTGGGCTAAAGCGGCCCATTTAGCATATAAAAATGAATCGTTCAAAGTCGAAAAAGTGGCTAAAGTCTAAATGTTTTTCTCTATGTGAATTATATAAATCATATAATTTTTAGCTGCACGGCATATTATTTTTTTATTTATTGTAATATATTTTGATTTATTTTTTTATTTTTTAAATAATAATCTAAAATATAGAATACAAGAAATTTGGTATAGAATAATAAAAATATACCAATAAAATGTAATTCAGCATCAAATTTTAGTTGCTGTGGTTCTATATTCCAAACCCAAAGCAGACTAACGATTTAACGATTGTTAAATTCTGGCAGTGAACGCTTTAAGGCAAACAATGAAACTAAATTAATGAATTAAATTGAAGGAAATTCAATCGAAAATATAAGCTATAATCATAGAAAGTCATTGCTATGTGGATGGCTATTTTTTGTATAATTTTTTAAATAATAATACGACAAATAACATAATGTAAAATATTATTCAGAGTCATATTCCAATTATCTGAATTCTGAAAAAACTTAAGGTTCGAGGCAAAAATTAATACTAAATTAATGAATTAAATTAAAATAAAATAAAATTCATTCGAAAAAATTATTCGTAAGATATAAGTTAGTTTGGCCTGCTTTAGCCACAGTGGGAACGAACACAGCGAATGAGCAGGCAACGAAAGAAGAGCGAAGGAGCGTAACACAAGAAGAAGAGCAATGAAGACGCTCTCTCTCTCTCTCTCTCTCTCTCTCTGCGTGTGTCTCTTTGCGCTCTCTGAGACCTGTGTTGCAAGAAAAGAATGAGAATGAGGAAGGCAAGGAAAGAGGCAAGAAAGAGCCGCCGTCTGTGCTTGTTGCTGCCTGGCAGATCGACGGACGCGTTCAGTTGGTTCATTTCCACGTCGCGCTTTGTATCTTGTAGTTTGCTGTTCGCTGTACGCTCCAGCTGAAGTTGAAGAAGATACGCCGAGATACATTTCGGGATTAACACTAATTCGTTTTTGATTGCCGCCAGGGGGCCCAAAAACATATCGTGGAACGGGGTCGCAGGCGGTACGGCACCGACCAGGCGTAGGCCGAGTGTAAGTAGAGTTCAGTGTAATGCTGTGTAGTGTAGTGTAGTGTAGTTGAACCCCAGCGGACCCGCACAGTCCATGGGGATTTTGGATTCTGTGTCGTGCCTTATCTGTGGCCTACGATTTTCTTCTCGCCGGATATCTAAATCTCTGCCTGAACGAGTCTCCAAGTGTGTCTGTGGGGGGCGTTCTTCTCTGGTGATTCAAGAGGCGTTTTACTAATTAAACCGACCCGATCCGATCCGATCGATCCCCAAGAGTCCCAAGAGTTGAGTTCAGTTCAGTCGGCAGTTTTTGTTGAAGAAATATTTGTCCAAGCAGTGATGCAAGTGCAAGTGCAAGTGTGTGTGTGTGTTGTGTGTGTGTGTTGTGTGTGGGGCACATTAAATGCTGAGGCATGAAAACATGAGGCGCCGCCGCGGCCAGTTCCCCTAAAGTCGCCGCTGCGATGGGCAAATGATGACTCAGTGGAGTTTGTTCTCCCCCCTCTCTCACTCTTTCTCACTCCATCTCTCTCTCTCTCTCTGTCTCTCGATAAAGATCTTCAAGAAGAGGCAGAATAAAAAGAGGAGGAGGAGGAGCAGCAGCAAGAACAAGAATCAAAATAGAGAATCAAGAAGCAGCGGCACAAAGAAGTGAAGAAGAAGTGTAAAACAAAGACGCAGAGAAGATCCCATGGAGAGTCAAAGCAAACCAGAAAAAAAAGGGGGGAAGGGCACACTGGAGGAACGACCCCGACCCGCATGTGTTTACATGTGTCTTTAGAGGGGGCAGCGACAGGGACAGAGACTGGGTGTTGGTTGCACCACTCTGTGTGTGGGGTGGTGCATGGAACAAGGGGCGGGGGGCAATAGAGCGAGCTTCGATATATGCATGAGCTAAATCCCAGATCATAGCTCAGTTTTCAATTCAGTTTTCGATTCCCGGAAATTGCCCAAAAACCCAGCAGCTACTTTTTTTTTTTTGCTGTTTTTCCAGCTAATTTTTGGTGCAACTTCTGTGTTGTTGTTGTTGTTGTTTTGGTGTGGCACAAGAAGAAGCATCAGCAACAGCAGCAGCAGAAGAAGCGAACACACAGATGGAGAAATAATACCCATACAAAGGCACAAAAGTGGCAGCTGCAATTGAATTATTTCAGCCATAAACACACACCAAAGAGGGAGAGCAAAAAACAGCGAGAGTGAGAGAGAGATGGTAAGCGGGTAAGAGAGAAAGAAAGGAGCCGAAAAGTAAGCGAAAAAAATAAGCAAAAGAAGACAAAAGGAGAGACGCGATGACAATGCCACAGAACAGAACAGGCAGGCAGTCAGGCAGTCAGGCAGGGAGCAGGGCAGGGCAGGCTAGGCCAGGGGATGATGATGTTGATGTTGCTGATGAGCACGAAGAAAAAGTTGCAACAACAAGTAAGGACAGGATCAAGGACACACACACACACACACACACCACCCATACGAATACCAGAAATTGTTACACGAACGCGAACAGGGACGAAGAGAAGCGCAAAGAAAAGGCAGATTAAGGACCAGTTCCTTTTGTTGTGCCTGTAGCCTGTTGGGTAGGCAGCCGCCAGGCGAGAGGCAGATTGAGAGCGGTGCCCATAAGGGTAGCTAAAGGCATAAACAGAGCTGAGGTGCACGACCAGGTAGAGGCAGGCAGGACCACAGGCAGGCAGGATCACAGGCAGCAGCAGATCGAGCAGGCTGGGACATGCAAAAACTAACACAAGAAGAAAACAGAGAAAAAGAGAGTACAGAGAACACAAGAAAATGATTCGGCAATAAAGGGAATGATTCGAGTTTACTGGCAGAGGGGTGGGGCAGGGTTGGGAAACATCAGCAGGGGGTGGGGGTTGGGTTTTGGTAGGGTAAGTGCACAGTGGTTTAAAGTCTCTTCGAAATGGCCACGAAAGATCAGATCAGAAGGAGGATTATTAGTGGAGTGAAATTTTTATTCATTTAAAATTTTCTTCCTCTCTTTAGATTCTTTCCAACGATCTCTAACACTGAGAATATAGATATGTAGATCCCAAATGAATATTTAAATTTCTTATGGTAATTCCCTCTCTTAAGTTCCCAGATCAAGATCACAGGTTTTCAGCTGTGACATTTCGCCCATGAAAACTTGCTAAGTCTTTCAATTAATTTTCATTTTTTTTTCTTTCCATTTTCCACTTACAGAAGGCAGCTGCTGCTGACGGCTCTCTCACCCAACGAAGAACCCAATTGAATATGCCATCTACAAAGCTGAAAGGCAGCGAACGAACGACAGAGTCGCCCCAATAACTGAACGGCAAACACACAAGGCAGACGATCGCACAGAGGATTGGGGGAAGGAGGCAAGGAAGCAAGGAACGAAGGCAGGATCATAAAAGGCTCGTGCCATATGAAGCATTAAGCCGCTATAAGTGCCACCGGGGGGTTGTTGTTGATAGGGAGAGACGCTCCTAAAGGAATTCCAATTCCGATTCCACAATTCATGCGGTTGCTGAGGGTCGAGACACAGTGAGGAGATCCAGGCAGCAGGAGCAGCAGAAGCAGGAGCAGGCGTAGGACTATCGCTTATCAGCCATGTCGGCCGGAGGGTTGCACTGAATTAAGGGTCGTCGGGGATTCGGTTCTCTTCTTATCTTAAAGCTTGGGCTGGCTGGCTGGCTGGCTAGAGAGGAGGGTGCTGCCTGCCCGTGCCTGCCATCGGAACCAAAAAAAACAAAAAAAAAACGAGCAGATGTGCAGCAGGGAAGCCCACAATTACGGGGCAGAGCAGTTTCTATTTAGAGGACGCGTGCGCGGCATGCCTAGCCAAGGGACTCTTTCCCGCTGCTGTTAGCTTTCCGCGACTGGAGGGCGGGAGGGGGTGTGAGCAAACACCTGGGCGTCTCCACTCAGAGATACACAAAAATTACTAAACAAAAAACGACTAAATTTCAAGTGCTGCAATGTCGGTTGAAAATAGTTTAGGAATTATAGATTTTAGTTTGGTTTGCGAGCAAGCTGCCGGAGCCAAAGCAGCGGCCGAACGGGAAGCACAGACACAACAGCAGCCCAAAGGCTGCTACACATTGTCGGACAAGGAGAACTGCGGCGACACAGTCACAGCCACAGCCAGCATTGTGACCACCGGAGCCACGGCACAGCCAGCCACACCCACAACGATGGGTGCCAATGGCGGCAGATCCCATGCCACAGCTGCTGCTACTGCTGCTAAAGCTGGCGGCAAAGATGTGGGCGATGGAATGAGCAGCACGGATCTCAAGTTCCAGTCGTATGTGAATGGCAACGGCAACGGCGTCTACAAGATCGTCAAGACCCTCGGCAAGGGCAACTTTGCCAAGGTGAAGCTGGCCGTGCACATACCCACCGGCCGGGAGGTGGCCATCAAGGTGATCGACAAGACGCAGCTGAACACGAGCGCCCGCCAGAAGCTGTACCGCGAGGTGCGGATCATGAAGCTGTTGAACCATCCGAATATCGTGCGACTCTTCCAGGTGATCGAGTCGGAGCGATCGCTGTACCTCGTCATGGAGTACGCCAGTCGGGGCGAGCTCTTCGATCATCTGGTGAAGAACGGCCGGATGCGGGAGCGGGACGCGCGGGTGATCTTCCGGCAGCTGGTGTCCGCCATTCAGTACTGCCACAGCAAGTTCGTGGTGCATCGCGACCTCAAGGCGGAGAACCTGCTGCTCGACCAGCACATGAACATAAAGATCGCCGACTTTGGGTTCGGCAACACCTTCGATCCCAATGCGCAGCTGGAGACGTTCTGCGGCAGTCCGCCGTACGCGGCGCCCGAGCTCTTCATGGGCAGAAAGTACGCGGGGCCCGAGGTGGATGCCTGGTCGCTGGGCGTGGTGCTCTACACGCTGGTCAGCGGCTCGCTGCCCTTCGACGGGGGCACCCTCAAGGAGCTGCGGGAGCGCGTGCTGCGCGGCAAGTACCGGGTGCCCTACTACATCTCGATGGACTGCGAGAATCTGATGCGCAAGTTCCTCGTGCTGAATCCCGCCAAGCGCACCACCCTCAACGCTGTGATGGGCGACAAGTGGATCAACCTCGGGTACGAGGAGGCGGACAAGCTGCGCGTCTACCGCGAGAAGCCCATGGAGCTGCAGGATCCCGTCCGCGTTGACCTGCTCACCGGCATGGGCCACAAGAGGAGCGACGTGGAGCACTCCGTGCGGGGCCAGCTCTTCGACGACATCTACTGCAGCTACATGCTGCTGAACGTGGCCAAGCCGCGTGCCTCGGCCTCGGCCACGGCCTCCAGGCAGGGCTCTCGGTCCGAGACTTCCATCGGCACGGAGCCGGCACTGCCCGCCGTCACACCCTCGCCATCGGTGGCTCCGTCATCCTCCGCGGGCGCCACCACTCGCCCCATGGCGCCGCGAATGGCCAATATTCTGAGTTCTCTGACGACTGCGACCAGTCCCAGCGCGGAGTCAGCGACGCGAACGGCCACGGGCGCCGGAGGATCTGTGGCACCTGCCAAACCCACCCGTCGGACGCCCGCTCGAAAGGGCACCACGGCCGCCGTCCGCTCCGAGATCAGTGCCCGCACCCGCTCGCCCCACACGACGCAGTCGAGCAAGCGTGGGGCCGCAGCCGTGGACGTGAAGCCAACGCTGCTCAGCGCCCAGCGGCAGATGGCGCAGGCCCAGAAGATGTCCGCCGCCACGCCGCCCCGCTTTCAGTATCTCAGGGAGACGCACAGTCCGGTGCAGACGCCCGGCACCGCACGGCGCCCCACCACGCTCTACGAGAAGGCAGACCATGCCACGCCCCCGGCCAACACGCCCATGGTGGTGCCCAAGTCGCCAGCCATCGGCGGTCGTCTGCTGGAGCGGCTCGAGGCCAGCGAGAAGCCCTTCACGCGCCAGAATGCGGCCCGTGCCACCTTCCACTTGGCCAGGGGCGCAGTGGGAAGAACGGCAGGGGAGTGGCCAGCGGCAACGGTGCGGACGAGGAGCAGCTGCCACCGCTCTCAGCAGACGACACAAAGCCCGCCTCCCGCGTGGGTTTCTTCTCGAAGCTAACGGCCCGCTTTGGCCGGAGGGTGATCCACCTGAACGAGAAGGATGTGTCCGAGCAGCGCAAGAACCTCACCAAGTAGATCCATGATCCATGATCCATGATCCATCAACAGATCATCAGATCGGATCGGATCGGATCGGATCAGTTATCAGATGTGTGTCGTTTTTTTATCGCACCAGACTAGAATCTGTAGCCGAATTTTGAAAAAAAAAATATACTTTAAGTTTAGGAGAAAGTTTCAGACAATGCACCCAGCCACCAGCCACCCAGCCAGACAGCGAGCCAACCAACCGACATCAAACTGTAGGTGGGTGGGTGGTGTGTGCACATCAAACTGTAAACTGCATCAAAGTGAACACAAAACTGCCAAGAATGGAAGTGATAGTAGAGTAGAAGGACCACCGATTTATTGTCTCTGTGGGTAGATCTTTAGGCTAGGATCTTTTACATATTCAATTTAAATTTTAAGCATAACAAATAAACAATGACAAAACAATTCAAATATCAGTGCAAGTAGATTAATTCTGTATAGGTAAGAGGTGATCGAGATCAGGAGAGAAAATCCAACAGAAATATCAAATGGATCGCTCAACTTTTGTATGGCATGCCCAGTCAGAGGGGGGTAGGGGGCTGCATTAACAGCACTAAAAATAAAAAAAACAACGATTAAAACAACGACTAAATTGCCGCTTGCGTGTTGCTTCGGCATTAAGTGGTTTCATGCCACAAGGTGGGGTGGGTGGAACGGAGTGCGGAGTGGGGAGTGCGGAGTGGGGAGTGCAGAGCCCGTGTGAGCAACACGAAACCGCAATCATTTTGCACTTTTCGAGGCAGCAACTGGCAACTGGAGGCGTCGAACGGCGGAAGGAAAAGGCGTTCCACACACACAGCGACAGAGCCCACGCCGCAGCCAGGAACAATATCCGGAAAGAAACCAATAAACGGGAAAATTCCGCAGAAGGGCCGCTGGTGGGAACCAAAACGAAGGGAAAATGGGTGCAAGAATATAGGCAAGAGAGAGGGTTGAGAGGAGGGCTTAAGGGTGGGCTTCAGGTGGACTGATTGGACTCCCAGGCGGACTCCCAGGCGGAAGTGGAAGTGGAACGGGGCGAGCGTTTAATTTGTTAACTGGCGGAAGACGAATGCTGGCCACAACGGATACAGCGCGAAGCAAAGCAAAAGTAACAGGTCGCACATAAATTTGGTTGCAAATGAGAGTGCATTAATGTGAGCAAAGCACCCACCCAGTCCTAGCCTACCCCTACCCCATATCCTCTGGTTACTTGCCCCCTTGCCGTGGCTATGTGGCTGCCTGATAAGATTGGGCCACAACCGAAATGCAAACAAAACTGTTCGCGCGCGCTCTCTCCCTATTTGCATGGGACTAGAAGAGCAATGGAGACCGCCCCCTAACGTGCCTCGATTGTTTGCCCAAAGGGTAAAGTAAACCCCACACAAACCACACAAATAGATATAGCAACAGATACATATAGAATAGAATATGGAATATGCTGGCTGATAAATCGAACCAAATGAAGCACTTGAAGCACAAATAAAAGTGCCTATGCAAATAGCAGAGCCCTCGATTAGATAGAGGCGACACAGTCGAGCGACAGTCGGTAGACAAGGACTGGCACACTCCTCCGATAAGATATCCTATCCCACTGCCACGACACACACACTCTCTGTCTGCTAAACTCCCAAAAGTATGCTGGCAAAAGTTTCACAGAGCGGAAGTTCCAATAAGAAAGGCCAACGTCTACGGCTAATCAGAGACGGACGTCTCCTTCTTGGAGAACAAACAAAAGGCAGGCCTCGTTCCAGTGCCAAGGGCTGGGGGCTAAGGGCTGTGGCTGTGGCTCTGGCTGGGGGCTAATTTGCGGCAACAACTCGTAACGAGCATGTAAACGAAAGTTTAACTGTTGCAAGTGTAATTGTAATTGTAACTGTCAATGTAACTGTAACTGTAAGTGAGACCCAGGGCAGCGGCATGGAAGTGGAAGTGTAATCCTGGCGGCGTCTTGCCAGGGGGACCCTTGACATCTAATTGAGGGTGCAACTGGATCTGAATGTGAATCAGGAACTGGAACTGGAACTGGTCTTCTTGCTGCTTCTTGGCCCGCCATTCAAGTGTCTGCCGGCAACGCCTTGAGTGTGACTTGGGTCTTGGGTCTTGGGTTGCTGGCGGCCTACCCACAATTATGTCAATAGCCAAGTTTTTATGGGGGGCCAGCCAGGCTGGGGGGGGGGCCGGCACAGATTTGGCAGTGACAAAAGGTTGCTTTGCTCCGTAGTCTCTGTTGACTGTCGCCGCCGTCGTTTCACCTTCTTGCACCCCCTCCCCCCCCCCTGCTTCCCCTGCGTTGCTTTTATTGTTTGTTTTGGGTAAATATTTTATGGCCCAAGAAGTGTAACAAGAAACTGAAAACGATTCGTGGCTTTTGTGTGTGTGGGGGTGGCGGGGGCTTGGGAGGGTCAAGTGGGGTCGACGACTGCTTTGAGCTTCTTTTGATTTTTTTCAGATTTATTTTTGCCCACAGATTTCTCAGTCGTTTGCCTTTTTTGCGGTCGCTTAAGAAACATTTTCCCAGGCTTTTCATCTTTTCATCTTTCTTATTCTTTTCGTTTTTTTTTGTATTTTCATCTTTGCTTCTTTTGTTTTGGTTCTCTTCGCGCTTGCCAATTAGCTACTCCCCTTTCCCCACTGTGATTCCACCACTCGAAATCCTTGGAGTTTTTCCTTGCTTATGCCGCAACCCTTAATTAATGGCTCCAGCCCTGCCTCTTGCTCCACCTCCACCACCCCATCCGCCTTCGCCTTGGCTTTAGTTTTGCAACTATTTTGTCTCATTTTCTGCCTGACTTAAGCGCTTAATAGTTTTAAGTTTTCAGTTTTTGTCTATAGTCTGCTATAGTTTCCCCTCCCCCCTTCTGTGCCCTGTGTTCCCTTGTCTTTTCCTTGCACTTTTCTTCCTCAAGTCCGAAACTTTTTCTTATTGGAAAGAGGATTCGAAACTTTGCGACGCTCGTCCTGTCTATGGGTATCGGATGCTGCTGCTCCTGCGGCTCCTGCTCCTGCTCCTCCTGATTCTTGTTTTTTGTGGTCGCCTGGCAGTTAATCAATTTTTTTTCTCCTCTTTTTTTTGGCCTTCTGAATTGTGTGCAAAGTTTTATGCTACAAGTAGAAATATGTTCCCCAAGCTGCGGGCGCTGCCAGCAGTAGGCTGGGGGTGGGGCAAGCAAGTCTTTTTGTGGTTTGGGTGCCAGGCAAAACTTTTAATTAAGAAAACCTTGAAGTGATTTATTGATTAGAGGAGGTCCCTGCTCTCCGCTGCCTGATGCTGGTCCTGGTCAAACTTTCTGTGGTCGCAGACGCCTCGACGCCGTCCCACACTCCCCCACCCACTTGCCGACCCGCCTTCTTCGCCTCAAAGACAGAGCGAGACAAAGCTAGAGAGACGTACGTCTCCGTGGATAGCCAATGGGGCTTCCGCTCGACTTGCAGGTTAATCAGCGTCGAGCGTTGTGTTCCGTGTGGAGCAGCAGCAGATAAGTGCCCGTGCCCGTGCCATTGCCTCTCCCTGGAGGGGCACCACTAAATCGTTTAGGGGCAGCCAAGCGTTGAGGCAACTTCCAACAACAAATGCGAAGCGCGGCGAAATCAATTCTCACTCTCTCTCTCTCTCTCTCTGTGTGTGGCCAAAGTGGAATTGGAAAGACTAGGAAAAATCAAGCCGATTCGCCTGCTTACGGAAGCGCAAAGAAATACACCCACCCACGCCCCCTGTGCAGCGGGCAGAACGGGAGAACTTTGGACCCAGCCCACTCTGCCAGTCTGCCACTCTGCCACTTTTCGGGGGGGCCCCCCACGAAAGTACTCTCTGCTCGTACAACTACATTATAATTATTATTGTTCCGTGCCGTTTCAGTGCCGTGGCGTTTCGGCCTGGCCAATACGCAGCAAGAAATAAAGACGAGAAACAAAATGGTGAGCACTTCCGCTGCCCGGCCCGAAAGTAATTACTGAAGTCAGCAACAGCAGCAGCAGCAGCTCGCTCTCGGAGCTCTCGGAGCTCAGTCAACCTTCAAGTTGTTGGTCTGTGCCGCACATTTCACGCCTACACCCCCCAGTGGCAGGCCCCCTGCCAGCGAGTGTGCTGCTGCTGCTCTGCTGCTGCTATCATTGTTTTAATTGTAAACAATATGAAAGATAATCAGAGGCCCGAAATCAGTGCGTGGACAAGAGGAGAACAACTACAGCAACAGCAACAGCTACAGCTCCAGGTGCAGCAGCAGCAGCAGCAGTGGAGTGTCGCGTTCTTCGTGACACATGCCCCAGACCTCAGAGCTCAGACTTCGACTCCCACTCCCACTACCATACCCACAAGCGGAAGTGTCGCCGTGGCATAACAAAAAAGCGGAACTACTCTTGAAAGATTTGCGTTGGACAGCCACTGGCACACCATGGGCCACCGTGGGCCACCTTTACCTGTCGCTGCCTCTGGGTTTTTTCCCTGTCTCTCTCTTTCTCTCTGTCTCCCTGTCGGCTGTCTGTGGCTTTTCATCAGCTTCAGGGGCTGTGGCAACTTCCCTGGCACTGGCACTGACGCGAGGCTGCGACTGAGTCTGTCATGAGTTGTTGCCCCTCGCATATTATTAACGTTTTAATACGTATTTATGCTGCCTTTACCCCCGTCTGCCTGCCTGCCTGGCTGCCTGCCTGTTCATTCTGTTTGCTCTTCTGTTCTGTTCTGTTCTGTTATTTTGGTGCGTGCTATATGGCCAGGGATTGGGGCAGGGTGAGGTTGAGGGCTTGGAGTAAGAGGGTGTGTCTCGACGACCACTTGTTGGCCCAAAGCACGTGGGAAAGTGGCAAGTGGCTATCGATGCAGCTCGATTGTCACACTATGGAAGGCAACAGCAGAACAGCACAAGAGTACAGTACAGTACAGCAGGGAGAGGAGACCATTAGGCTTCCGTTTTCGTAGTGGAAATTGCATTAGCGAGTGGGCGAGTGGCGTGGCAGATAGATCGTAGAATGGAGCGCGACCTGGGGGCGATGCTTGAATGATTTTGCACCATACGAGATTCGAGAGATCAGAGACTACATCCCCAGACAAGTGCTCGTGCATCCGGTCTGGGGGTCTCTGGGTTCGTTCTGGGGTGGGGTCTGGGGGTTGGGCTGTGGCTTGATTCGCCTGTTACTTGTTTTTATATAAGTCACCAGCTAAATGGCTGTCGCTCTCTCTCTCTGTCTGATACTAAATACTAGATAGTTAGATACATTAGATGGCATCGCACAGACAGATGCTCGTACTCGTACTTGTCGTCCAGCAACAGCTGTAGCTGTAGCTCAGCTCAGCTCATGCATGCCGCGCACCAAATACGAAATAAATTACACTTGATTATCTTGTTGCGCGCCGCCTGGCTGCTGCTGCAATAGCGTTCTGCCGCCCAATTTCCGAAATACAACAAAAGTAAAGAAAGATTAAATGTCGCCCGCTCG